TTAAGCTTAATGTATTACCTTTACTTATGACCAATAAGATGTGATATTCCATATAAATATAAGATATCAACTTTATAAGTCTTTGAATGTTTAATCAGAAGATTCTTGGATTCTTTGCTTTTTCAGTGATCAAACACACTTAGTATTAATTCAGACAAAGTCAGGTTTATAAAAAGTAAGAAATTTACTTTCTAAACAAATTAAAAACAAGACAGGTTAAATCGGACGAATGTGATGGATGGATATAAGTGGATGGAATGTGATGTATAGGGATGGGTACCTTTGACATTTGAATCAATACCGGTACTAATTCCCGGTACCTACAAATCGATACCGGTACTTAACAGTACCAATTTTCGATACTTTTGAGTGTTTAATATTTTAATTCTCTTTTATAATTAGATATATATTTTTCTCAATTTATAACCATATTTGATAAATATCATGATAAATAACATACAACTGTTTGTATTTTAACATCGTCCTTGTAGTTTTATAGGCTGATAATTAAACTCAAGCAAACATCTTTACTGTGAACTAAATTTACTGTGTATCTTCATTCCTTTTACCCTCCTTTTTCAATTGATTTTTCCTACTGGGAAGTTAGAATTTCTGAGGAGAAAGCGAACGCGCCATTTAGATGATAACAGTGGTGGCATAGGAAGCTAACATATCAAGCTTACGTTATCTTAAACAGTTTATTTAACTGCTGGAGCAGATTTAAATGATGATGCCTCACACTTAAATCGTTGTCACTGGTTTCATCTTCACCCAGTCACCCGTCGCATTTAGTAAAGTGAAGCCAAACTTTAGAGCGCGTTTATGTTCTTCTAGTCGGAATTTCGGAGTTTCGAGGAGGAAGCGAACGCACCATTAGTGAAACGGAAGCTAACAAATCCAGCTAACGTTATCTTACATTATATTTACCTACCGGAGCAAATTAAGATGAGGATGTCTCACTTAGATCGTTGTCGCTGGTTTCATCATCACCCAGTTACCCATCACATTTAGTGAAGTGGACCCAAGCTTTAGCTTTCGTTCTTTCTACCATGTTGCTCTGTTTACAACTCGCTTGCAGCGACCAATGACATAACGCTCTTGTGCATGCGCAGCTGTCTAGGCAAGTTCTCGTTGTGAATTACAGGTACCGAAACGAGGCACTGTTTCAAATGAAGTGAATCAGTGCTCGGTCGGTACTGTGGAATTTGGTCAGTACCTTAAAAAGTACTGAATTCGGTACCCATCCCTAGCGATGTATGATGATTGAATAGTGTGTGGTTATCAAAACCTTGTTTCTAGAAGAAACTGAGTTCTAGGTGTGAAAAGAATTTGGTCTGCATTAAACTATAAGTGATTGTTTATGAAACGGCATCAGATGCAATTCATGTCATGCCTACGTACCCATTCCTGGAGGCCCCGTTTGGATCCAAGATGTCAAGGAGTCGGTGACCCCAAATGCGCGTGGCTCGTAGGAAAACCTTGAATGCGACCAAGTCAGTCCTAGGATGTCTCCCGAGTCACAACAGATAGATGAAATCATTTGCGTCTAGAACAGCTGTTTCTGAATAGCTGAAGGAACCGTTTTGCTGCGTCAGCTGTAGCGTTCAACAGGTTTTGACAGCTTGTCAAGAGATGCGGTGGTTAGAGTTTCCTCCGGTGGCCAGTCCTGAGTTCTGCTCAAGAACTAACTGGATCACTCCGCAAGTGATTCTGTTTTAATGTTCCCATATTATGATTGCATGGCCAATCAGGACAAAAGAGGTTAAGAGGTGTTAACAAACAAACCTCAGAACACACGCCTTTTCCAGATACAATACTGTTCCAGTTCTGTGGACAAAGAACCTTTATGTGCAGTGACATTAACTTTAATTTATGTCTAATGAACATTGTGTATGAGTGTAGATAATGATTCACTTGTTAAACCAAACATTACTGATCATAACATCAAAATGTTTCTTTGTAATATTAACATTTATTTCGACTTCATTGAATTAGGCACAGATTATTCAAACATTAATATTATTATTCATATAACATTTGTTCATTCAACCATATTATTATTTAATGATTATTTAACGTATGAGTTGTACAAGTTCATCTTCATGAGAGTGTGCAATCCTGCAGTCGTATCGAAAGAAAGTTTTGTTTGGGAACATAGGCTGATATCTTGTTCCCCTGGAATGTCAATAAGGACCGCAGACTCTTCTGGCTTGTTGGAAGACAGAATGTAAAATTCACTTTAGAGAATGGAATTATATCTGCAGATGACCGATGGCATGTAGGTCAATATGTAGGTGAAAAATGACCCTTTCTGGACATTACACAGTTCAGAAGAGCCTTGACGTTGTGTTACCAAATGGGGCAATCAGCTCAAACTCTTGGGGAAAATTTGTTGTAACTAAATCACAGTAGATGTTAATCAGTCAATCAATCAATCAATCAATCAATCAATCAAAGCTTTATTTATATATAGCACCTTCCACAACCCTTCTCGGGCGCCCAAGGTGGTAGAAAACACATTTTAAAAAAACACATAGTCATAAAAAGACAAGTTAAAACATAGAACATAAAACCTGGAGCATAAGGCAAATGGATAAAACAATGAATAAAAGTGACCTAACAAGGAATAAAACAGAAATTAAAAACAAGAACTAAAAATAATATAAAAGCAAGCAGACTTCAAACATGTTCCAGAAAGCTCGGAAGCATGTGTTCATCATATGTTCATAAGCAAATGACATTTAATCTGTGTTAACGAGCTTTTAATGCAGATAGGACTTTACTGTCACCCAGAATATTTTACTGAGGATGTTTTTCTGAAACCCAGTCTGTATGGCTAGCGTCACCCCGTCTCCTTAGAAACACGTCTTCATCCGCCTGCAACCGCTGATCAAAATTGGCAAAACGGGGATCTGAGCTCCTACCAGATTAATTAATCTGCGTATTTCCAGTAAAACACATTTGCCAAAAGATTTGTGCAATTATCACACTTTTATTTTACTTCCACAAAGTTTTAGATTATATATTACAGAAAATGAGGAGGGCTTGTCAACAAATTAAAAATCTGCCCCTCATTAAATACAAGTCAGGATGTCAGGCTGGCTGCTAACAGGCGAGTGACTTTCAAATGTCGCCAGCTGCCATGTGCTGGAGACCCCTGTGCCATGGTCTGTCTAGATTTCAAGGCTAGGACTTTGTATGACTGAGCTGGTGTTCTATATCTTTGATGGTTGAACACAAACACATTTTGACAAGAACATTTATGGAAAAACTCCTCCCACCTCTACTGATTTCACAGTTTTAATACAGTTTAAATATCTATATTTTAAAATCTTTTTTGTTTATTTAACAAACAAACACACATATAACGCTGTAGCCACCGGGACATTAAGGACTGTGACCAGAACCTCCAGTAACCTAATTATCATGATGTCACATGTTCTGCACAGTGACCCTTGGTCTGAGTTTTACATTTTTAGTTTGTCTTTCAATCTGCCCTTCATTAAGTTTGCTGGATGGGAGTGAGAGCAGGGGCAGAGCTTAATACGTACAACATGTGCGGCCGAACAGGGCGGCAGTCTGGAGGGGGCGGCATTTAATTTCCTTCTTTTTATTTTTATTTTATTAATTTTTTAGCATCAACCAATACATAAACAAAACATAGAAATTGCATGTTCTTGATAATAATAATAGTGATGAGTGATGATAATAATAATATTTCTGTAATAAAAGCACAACAAAGTCATTGTTTGCATTTATATTGTGGTTTTATTGCGTCCCCTTGTGTCCGCTGCGCCTCTGTGGATGCAGGGTGGGATAGTGCGCTCTATAGCACCCTTCATCAGGTGGGGGTGGAGGGATCTTGGAGAATGATGATGGAGGGATACAGGTACCGTTTGACATATCGGAGAGTTACAGGAGAGGGGTTACCATGATAACCTTAATTGGTCTTGCTGGTTGCCATGGTGACCCTAATGACCAACAGAAGCTCCTATGATGGCACTATTGAGCTGCTGTTCATTACGTCAGAGACCCTAATGGTCTATTAGCAGAAGCTTTAACATTTTTGATGATTTCTCACTCAGTTTCTGCATCACAAAGAAGGCCTTTTGTCTCAGTTTATATTATTGCAACTGCCAGATTACATGTCTAAGAGGAAAGTGGAAGTTCTGCATCCTGATGTAATTCCTAAGACCCTTAAAAACTTAAACCTATTGTGATTTTCATTGTTATTTATTATTATACAGTTTTATCTGCATCTATTGTGTTCATTGTGCCTTTCTTCTGACCCAAAGACACATTTTGCTGTGTTCTTGGAATTTTATGTTGAAGTCTACTTCACCAGAATGCCTTGCTGTTGACATTTTTTAAACTTTACATTATCAGTGCAATCATTCATAGTGCAAATATTAGCAAAAACATGCTTTAATATTTATTTATGATGAACATCAGAAAAAACCAACAATTAAAAATTGTAACTGGTATAAATTTCTAAAAACACACATTGCCCAAAAAGGAACAGCAGACATTCTGTGTCTCTGACAGCTGATTACTTGTGTTGTGATTTGATGAAATACAAGTAGGACCCCAAAAAACTGAACTGAATCTCAATTTAGAGTCATTAACTCACTTTTGTGATTCAAAATGCTTCTACTTATCTACGTTATCGTGTTTGGTCCTGGTGGACCGCTGAAGAAAGAGTCAGCTCTGTAGCTCGAGATCAGAGAGGAACTAAGTGCAGCTGGTGAAAACAATGCGACGAAGGGTATGTGGTGTATCTGGTCTTCCAGGCTCAGGGGAGCCTGATGCCTCCTCAAGCCTGAGCTTTGGTTTAAAATGACTGCTTCAGATTTCTGATTGCACAGAAATATGTCAAAAAGCCTCTCAGAACAGAAGAGTAGTTGAAACCTCAGGAGACAACTCCCATAAGCTACAATCTAGGGCTGCAACTAACGATTATTTTCATAATCGATTAATCTGTCGATTATTTTTTCGATTAATCGATTAATCGGTTTGTTATTGTTTAGCTATTTAACCTATACAAGTGATGAATACATTTCAGTTAAGAAAAAGAAAAACATAAGAGAATTGTGCAGTTGAATGCAATCTATTTTATTGCACATGAACACAGTCAGCAGTGTAAAATGAGCTAAACAGTGCAAAATATCAGTCCAGAATAATTTTTTGGCATCAAAATATAAGAGGTAAATTCCATAAAAAATAATGTAGAATCTGGAATAGAGTTTGTAAGTGGTATGCATTGCTGGGGGTGAGTGTCTTGTTCCCCATGTAGTTGTCCATCGTTGCTTGTTTTTTTTCTGCATAAGAAACACAAATAAACTGAATTAAGTACACATATAAAATAAAGCAGCACACACACTACAACACTAAATCAATATTACATTATTTGAATTAATTAACAATATACAGTGATCATTTAATTTGACAAAAATGTGTTGTGAGGCATTTTTTGGCGTTAGATAGTAAAACAGCCTTTTAATAGTTAAAAAAAGGACTTTCTGAATTTCTCCTGTATTTAAAAATTGAAAGCGTACAACTATGCTGCGTTATATTCACCTGGACACAGCTCGTCTGTATATTTTTCACCGCGGAGTTGTCCTTTTTTGAATGAGGAACATAGTTATGGGTTTGTGCCGTTTTTCTCTTAACGAGAACATTCTTATAAACAGACGTGCTAAATTTGGCAAGCGCATGATACACAACACGGAGGAGATTCACGATTGCATCTAGTCAATCAGAAGTAGAACACCGTAAACTGACGCGGCAAAAAAAAACATGTTTAACATCCACTATAACGAACTCAGCTAACACTAAGTCCCAAATGTGATCTGCGTTAGCTTGTTTATTTTCTGTTACTTACCGGACATTCCTCTGCTGCATCAGCCCCCACGTTTTCGTCTCAAATGTTCACTTAGGGACGTCGTGCTTCCGTCGTGCCATGGTTTTTGCATATTTTGCAGGTCACCGGTCTTTTCAAGGCATCTAGTGAAGTGCTCCCATACTCGTGAGGTTTTTGTCCGTGGTTTCTCTTGTTTTGTCGCTTCTATTTTTCTTCCGTATTTCTTGTTGATCCGCCATCTCTCACAGCAAGATGAGCGTCAGTAACGTGATACGTCATGAAAACCGAGGGCACTTATTGGCTCATTTCTTCTTCTACGGCTCCACTGGTAGATCAGTGGCTCATTACTGCCACACACTGGCGGCAAATTTAACAGATTGTAACCGATGTCAGATTGTGGTAAAAAAATAGACTTTATGCGGTAAAATATGATTATTAAACAACTAATCGATGACTAAAAAAGTTGTTAACTATTTTAATAATCGATTATAATCGATTAAATCGATTAGTTGTTTTTAGCTCTATCCAAAACAGTTTTAGAGTAAAACTGCATTTCAATAGTCTGTGAGAAAAGCTTTGTACTTAGTTATGTGATTGGAACCACAAGCTTCAAAGCAACACACAGTGGACCTAGTGGAGCAGACAAAGGAAAAGTCAAGATATGAGAAGAATTTCATTAAACTGAGCTTTTACTGATTAACTAGTTTCCAAATTTGTTTTGTTGTCTGACGGATGTCCAAACAACTGAATTGGCCTGTGTTACAAACCCTAGATCAGGGGTGCCCAACCCTGGTCATCAGGATCCACTATCCAGCATGTTTTAGATGTGTGCTACAACCCAGGTGTCTAGGGGGCCTGGGGTAACATGGAGGACATGTGACACAAAGTAAAATTAACAAAGGTTCTATTTACTTTTCTATTTTTTTTGTCTTACTCTAGAAAAGAAACCACCATTGAACAAAAAACATTTAACCAAAACAGGCTCAAATACTAAAATGTAACATAACAAGGACCTACTCTAAAGAGAGCACAAAATCTCAAACACTAAAAGGTAACAGATTACCCCTAAAGCTTATTTCCTCTCACTATTCAATATCAAAGCCCTAAGTGGGAGACAACAGGCAGAGAAAGGCAGCTCTGCACTATTGTCCCCCATCGGTGAGGAGCTCCAGCAGGTCCTTTAAGCAATCAGTGGCTGACGAAAACCCAGCTCAGTTGGTGCAGGGAGGAGCAAGGGTGAGCAAACAGGCCATAGTCTGCAGGCATGCTGCTCAGATGCAGCATAAATGAGAACAAAAAATGCACAGAAAAATGAAAACACAACACAACAAGGCTCCAGCCGTAAAAATGTGTCCCTGTTTTAACACACCTGATTTCAATCAGTGGTGATTAGCAGCGTTCTTCAGAGCCTGACTAGCTGTTGAACAGGTGATTCAGCCACTGAATCAGCAGGGTGAGATATAAAACAAGCTGGATTGGGGATCCTGCCCTAGATGGTAGTTAGTTGTGATAGGAGGGTTAACATGATAACTGGCGTGAAAAAGGGATGAGTATAAATAAAAATGTATTTTATTAACAAAGAGTAAAACACAAATACTCAGTCCTTGACTGGAACAATAACACAACTAATTTATTCTGTGAAAACAAATAAAGGTGACAGGGCAGAAATAAAAAAAAAACCTGAGGCTAAAGGCCTTGGGGAAGAAATAACAATGATTTTTTTAACAAACGAAAAATGCCGGAGCTAAATAACTAGTAAACAAAAAATCTCGATGGCTAAACTTTATTCTAATTACCAAAAATAAAACCGAGCTCTAAAGTGGAAAATTGAACGGAAATTCAAGCTTTAAGAGCAGACAAAAGGATCAGGAAATGAAAATGGCTATTGCACTATAGGATTTAAACCAAAAAGAACTACTTATCTTACAGCCGAATTTATCAAAGTTCTTAATCCACTACAAAATCGTTTACTACAGGACCGAGGAGAGAAGGACTGGGTGTGAAGCTATGGTTCTCTCCCTGAGAACTGACAGTTGCTGTCTTTTAAGCCATCAGCTGATGAGACCAAGGTGTAATCCCGCCTATAGGCACCAAATTGGGTAGAGCCGGTCCTGCCTCTTATGACCATAATTCTAAATGGGACGCCTGGTATTTTTTCGTTTCATGGCTGTAAAATTGTAATAAAAATTTCAAAATGTTTGTAGCTCTGCTCCTTTTTACAGAACAACCTCAGCTTTCAGTGTCTGGTTGTCTTTAGTATTTATGTTTATTAAAGCTTGTATAAATGCAGCCTAAATGTAAAATGAGCAAAACAGATTAGAACTTTTTTACATTCATTACCAAATAAGAACTTCAAAAAGATGTGGGCATTTCTAATAAATAATTTAACTCTGAACTGTGTTGCGAACACTCAGAAAACAGTGTGAACCCTGGCCTCATTTTTGCCAGTTTTTATGACTGTTTCTGTTTTCTAAATTTCTGACTGCAGTGCTGTCTGTGGCCACAGGAAGGTCTATGCTCTGGATCAGAGAATGGCATGGAGGAAAAATAAATATGAGGGAACATAAAAAGACACTCATACATCACAACGGTGGCTACATTTCTACCAGCATTATAAAGATTGGCCAGATAAAAGGTAATAATAAAAGCGAAACATTCCATGACAACAAGTAAACATCTCTAGGCTAGAGTACTGCAACTCCCTCCATGCTGGCTTGAGCCATTCCTTAAGGACTCGGCTCCAGCTGGTCCAAAACACTGTTGCCAGATTTCTGCATGGAGCACATAAGTGGGAGCATGTCACTCCCGTCCTGACAACTCTGGACTAGCTACCTGTGAAGAGTTGCATCTTGTTCCAAATCCTGGTCCTTGTTTTTCAATCTCTGTCTGGATCAGCACCACCATATTTAGCCTCCCTGCTGACCCGTCATGTCGCTGCAAGATCGCTACGTTCGGGTCAGAGTGACCTTTTGGTGGTACCGCGATCAAAGCATAAGTCTAGGGGTGATCGTGCCTTTGCTGTTCTGGGTCCTCGGCTTTGGAACCAACTCCCACAAGAAATCAAACAGTCCACATCGCCATCCACTTTTAAAGCAAGGCTTAAGCTGTATTTTAGATATGTTTCTTAGTTGTTTGTATTCACATTTTAATGTTTTTGATTACTATTCTTATATTGTTTTCAGCTCTTTTTTCAACTCTGTATTTTATAATAGAGCTGTTTTATTGGGCTGCTTCTATGTTCAGCACCTTGGGCCTCCTTGATTGTGGGTGGGAAGGGGCTTTCTAAATAAAATGAACTTGAACTTGAACTAATAAAATACTGCACTAATATAAAATTCTATTTTCATCTAAATAAATTGTGACGACCCTCGTCCCCTCGGTCCGTCCTCTCATTTTCCCTGAGCCCGTTGTCCCCACTGCCGGGGATTCAGCACCAGGAACAGCGCCTGAACCTGCTTGCTTACGCTCTCCAGCGCCCCTGCACCAATTCAGGACCTCGGAGAGAGGCACGCCGGAGAAGACAGCAGCTGATCTTCATCAGCTATCAAGCGGCCAACAGGCTTAAAAGGAGGAACGCAGCAGACAGTCAGGGAGAGCCAGGATTAGCCTGTTTTTCTCCCGAGCTCATAGACTCTTGGCTAAAATTAAATTGTTGCGGTAAATGTTTAGGGTTTTTCTATAGGGATCAGGCTTAATTATCCTCTTTTGTAGGATTTCGCTGACAGAGGGTCAGTTTTCTTGTTTTGGCGGTTTTTATCCCCATAGGACTTTTGAGCCGGGGATATTTTGAGTTTAGGTGGTTGTGATTTAAGTTAGGCAGAAAGCCTTTTTCATAAGCAGTTAGTCTGCTTATGTTTTCAGTTTCCACCTTTTAATCACCAGTATTACTAAGCCTTATTTGTGCCGTTAGCAGCGGACACCTTTTGTTAATAAACCCTTGTGTTTTTACTCTCACCACCTTGTTATTTGTCCTCACACACACTCCTCCACGTATTTTCCTGTGTTAGTCCCCTCATCCTCCTAAACCTTCAGGAGGGGGCGTAACATAAATATTTATTGTAAATATAAATAATGCTGGGACAAAGCTGAATCTTACAATTAGGAAATAGTTGAGTGTTGTTCAAATAAAATGTGAGATTCCATAGAAATATGAAATATCAATCTGATGGATCTTTGAATATTTCAACCAGAAGATCAGAACTTTTTATTGCAGGGATTACGTGACACTTCATATTAATTCCGAGGAAAGAGAGAGAGTCAGGTTTATAATAGTTAAAGAATTTATTTCTACACAATTTAAACAAGACTAACTTAAACACTCTGTGTACTGATGGACTAAGGTGGAGTGAGACCTGTGATGATGGTGTGTGTGTGGAATGTTATTATCAGAACCAGCGGATCCGGAAAAGCATTTAGTTCTGAGTGGGAGTGAATGTTTCGCTCTAAACTATAGATGGAGATTTATAACACACATGAGACGCCATCTGTCGGTCTACATACCCAGGGGAAGCCTCTGTTAGATCCAGAATGTCGAGGTCCTCTTGGACCCTCCTTGGTACCGAAGCAGGTAGAAAAGCAGCGGTGCCGACCAAACTAGTCTTGGAATGCTTCCAGGTCATGACAGGTTATCACTGGCATCTCCGAGACCCTGAAGGGGTCGTGAGGTTCAGCTTTTATTCCAAAGGAACCATTGTGGTCAGGTGTAACTTGCAAAAGATTTTATCCAGCTTGTCGAGGTTCTTTTGGCTGAAGAGGAAGTCCGGATGGTCTGTCCGAGACTTCTCTAGAACGCTTGAACTAAAGAAAAGGTGGCGTGGAATAGTTTTTATACTTGTCATATTTTGGTTTACTGGCGAATCAGAATTTGACATGCAAAACGAGGGTTTATACAAACACCACAGAAAACCACGCCTGCTGGTTGGATCAGACAAAAGGAAATGTGTCGTGTGACTTTAGCATTACGTGTCATTAGTGTCTAGTGCAAATGTCCAAGATTATAATAACTTGTAAAATACTACTGATCACAGGATTAAAATATCAAGTTATAACATTGTCATTTGTAACGGAATAGAGTGATTGTAACTATCTAGAGTTGCATTTTAATACACTGTAAGTAGATTGCTTGTTATAATCAGAAGATGGGCTGTTTTTATCATCAGGGAGTTTAATTAAAAACTCTGTATTGACTTTGAGACAAGAAAAGAGAGAGAGATGGGATCGTTTGAGAATCTTTAATTTCTTAATTATAAATTCTAAACAATCTACCAGGACTAACTCTGTGATGGATGAAAATGGATTTGGATGTTGTGTTGGTGCGTGTGTATGTGTGTGTGTGGTTGGTTCAGACTCCTTAGGCTGACGTCATTGAATCTGGTAGTCTTTGTTATGACTAGATATCACAAGGCTTATAAAGTGATGACATGAGCCGCTATTTTGCCGTGTACGTACTCAGTGGGGGGCCTCCCAGGTAGATCAGGAAATGCCAGGTCTGGAGACCTCAGATGTGCGCTGGAGCTGTCGGAGCAGCGGTCGCAGCGTTTCAAAGCCCGTCTGAAGGGTCGACCCCGGTACCAATCGGCGGCGTCAGCAGGTACTCTTATTTTGAAAGGATGTCGTCTGGTTGTTAAACGACGAAAATCTCCAACTTCACAGTTCTTAGTTTAAAGAAGAAAACACATCTGGCCAGGCTGTGCTTTTCTTTAGGATGACGGTGAATAGAACTGAAGTCAAAATGGAACTGAGCTTAAAATGGCGTTGCCTTGTTTTATATCTCTGAATTGTTTTAAGTTTCAGTAAACAGGATTGGACACTTTAAGTCAACAAGCCAGATTCTCCTGCGGCAGCCGAAAGCTCTGATTGGTTGGAACAATGTGTCATGCGTTTCTATGGAGATGAGGATCAGTCTGTCTGTGCAATAGTCCTGTTTTCATTAAACACATAATCTTTATTCCACAGATCATTCACTTGATTATTATTGATCAACAAATGTTTTGCTTAATTTTTTTTTATCACAAATAAAGTACTTTGATTAAGTAAAAGCGTTCTTCTTCTCCTTCGGACTCTTCTCCTGGAAGGTAAACAGTCTGAGGAACACCCGACCTTGGCTTTTATACACAGGTGTAACTGTGCACAGGGGGCAGCTGTGTGGAGCTGAAAATGATGAACTTCATAACCTTACACATTTCACAGATTGATTGAACATTGGGCTCACGTTATTATTGGTAATAACAAAGTTGTTTGATTACGTGTTTATCAAGAGAGTTCTTCGTATTTGTCTTGAGCTGTAACAGAGGTTGTAGCGCCAATGCCCTATACACTGGCACTACTGGTTACTGATGCGGGTGGTGGTCTTCACGTGTGTTTAAAAGAATTGCAGCTTGTGTTTATTTCCGATGATGTTTATTATGTCATCTTGTTCCAAAATGTCCATGATCCATTTACTTGCAATTAAAGTGGTTTACAATGAATGCATTACTTGCCCCAATGACAGTCCGCAGTCTGTTACACACAGCCACAGTCCTCGCCACACAATAAAAAACTGTAACAGCAACACCTGAGTCTAATCTGTGTTGGCTTAAGTAGGCTGGTGCTTCCACAATCAATTGACCAATCAAATGAGGCCAAGCCTCCTCTCATGTATGCAGAAAGAAAATGAAAGACACATATGGCTCCTACAGAAGTGAAGCAGTTCAGATGAGAAGAGTGCATGAAAGACCTTGGCCAATATCTCATGTAGATTAGCCTGTCAGAGACTTTATGTCTCTGCTCGAGCAGACGCAGCAGATCATGACCTTTAGGTCAAAAACAGGACATTCATGACGCTACAGCACCAAGGTTCTTTGTTCTCTGAGGCTAATAGCATGCCATTCAGATCAAATGATCTGAGGTCCTGGTCCAAAGATTATGACTTCAGTCTTGTCTTGATTTAACAGGATAAATTTTAGAGTCATCCAGATTTTT